CCGTGTCTGGCTGGGGGGTCGGTTTGGGGGTGTCCGGCCGAGGGATCGGTTTGGGGGTGTCTGGCCAGGGGGTGTCGGGCCGAGGGGTCAGTTTGGGGGTGTCCGGCCTATTCCCCCCTCCACCCCGGCCGGGCTCCCCTTGGCCTCGTCCCTCAGGGCGCCGGGGCGGCCCGCGGGGTGTCGGGGGGGGGGCGGAGGCCGCCGGCAGCGGGAGGCAGGGCCTCTCCGGGAGACCGGGACTACATGTCCCATGGTGCCCCGGGCGGAGCGCGGCCACGCCGAGGGAGGAGGCCCGGCCGCGGCCTGCCCCGCCATCACCGGGCGGGGAGCGGGGCGGAGGCCGCCATGCTGCGCCCCAAGGCCCTGACGCAGGTGCTGAGCCAGGCCAACACCGGCGGGGTCCAGAGCACCCTGTGAGTAGGGGCCGGGGCCGAGGGGCGCCGGGGGCGGCACAGAGGGCTGGCTCCCTCCCCGCTCCCCGCCGCCACGGGGCCCTGCCCGGACGCGCTGCCTTCCCCCGGGCCCTGGAAGTGGCCTTCCCCCCGGGGCTGGCGGGGGGCTGGGGCCCTACACGGGGTTGGGGCCGTGCAAGGCGCTGGGCCGGGCAGAGTGAACGGGGCTGGGGCCGGGCAGGAGGGTGCTGGGGCCCTACGTGGCCCTACGTGGCTGGAGACACGCAGAGTGCACGGTTGATGGTGCCGGGGCCGTGCATGGGGCTGGGGACTCGCACGGTGCACGATGGATGGTGCTGGGGCCGTGCAGGAGGGTGCTGGGGCCGTATGTGGTGCTGGAGACACGCAAGGTGCACAACGGATGGTGCCAGAACTGTGCATGGTGCTGGGCTGTGCAGGGTGCTGGGGCCATGCAGGATGCACATTGCATGGTGCTGGGGCCGTGCACGGTGCTGGGGACACGCACGGTGCACGACGGATGGTACAAGGACCGTGCACGGTGCTGGGGCCATGCACAGCACATAACAGAGGGTGCCAGGGCCGTGCAAGGGCTGGGGCCATGCACGGTGCACAGTTAATGGTGCTGGGGCCATGCACGATGGTGCTGGGGCCATGCACGGTACACAATGGATGGCGCTAGGGCCACGCACGATGCATGGTGCTGGGCTGTGCAGGGTGCTGGGGCCGTGCAAAATGCACATTGCATGGTGCTGTGGCTGTGCACGGTGCTGGGGACACACACGGTGCACGACGGATGGTACAAGGACCATGCACGGTGCTGGGGCCATGCACGGTGCACGATGGATGGTGCTGGGGCCATGCACGGTGCACGATGGATGGTGCTGGGGCCATGCACGGTACACAATGGATGGCGCTAGGGCCACGCACGATGCATGGCGCTGGGCTGTGCAGGGTGCTGGGGCCGTGCAAACTGCACATTGCATGGTGCTGTGGCTGTGCACGGTGCTGGGGACACACACGGTGCACGACGGATGGTACAAGGCCCATGCCCGGTGCTGGGGCCATGCACGGTGCGCAGTTAATGGTGCTGGGGCCATGCAGGATGGTGCTGGGGCCATACGTGGCGCTGGGGACATGCACTGTGCACAACGGATGGTGCCAGGACTGTGCACGGTGCTGGGGCCATGCACGGTGCACGATGGATGGTGCTGGGGCCATGCACAGCACATAACGGAGGGTACCAGGGCCATGCAAGGGCTGGGGCCATGCACGCTGCACAATGAACGGTGCTTGGGCCATGCAGGAAGGTGCTGGGGCCATACATGGTGCTGGGGACACGCACTGTGCATGACGGATGGTGTCAGGACCATGCATGGTGCTGGGGCTGTGCACGACAGATGGTGCTGGGGCCATGCACAGTGCACGATGGATGGTGTGGGGCCATGTACAGCACATAATGGAGGGTGCCAGGGCCATGCAGAAGGCTGGGGCCATGCACGGTGCACAGTTAATGGTGCTGGGGCCATGCAGGATGGTGCTGGGGCCATACGTGGCGCTGGGGACATGCACTGTGCACAACGGATGGTGCCAGGACTGTGCACAGTGCTGGGGCCATGCACGGTGCACAATGGATGGCACTGGGGCCATACACCATGCATGGTGCTGGGGCCCTACACGGGGTTGGGGCCGTGCAAGGCGCTGGGCCGGGCAGAGTGAACGGGGCTGGGGCCGTGCAGGAGGGTTCTGGGGCCAAATGTGGTGCTGGGGACACACAGAGTGCACGGTTGATGGTGCCGGGGCCGTGCATGGGGCTGGGGACTCGCATGGTGCACGATGGAGGGTGCTGGGGCCATGCAGGAGGGTGCTGGGGCCGTACGTGGTGCTGGGGACACGCACTGTGCACAATGGATGGCGCTGGGGCCATGTGCAGCACATAACGGAGGGTGCTGGGGCCATGCACTGAGCACAATGCATGGTGGTGGGGCCATGCAGGGCACGTGGTGCCGTGTACAGTGCCACGGCCATGCATGGTGCACAATGCACAGTGCCGGGGCCATGCACAGTGTGTAGTGCATGGTGCTGGGGCCGTGCACGCTGCATAGTGCATGGTACTAGTGTTGTGTGTGGTGCACAATGGACAGGGCTGGGGCTGTGCAGGATGCTGGGCTGTGCGTGGTGCTGGGGCCGTGCACGGTGCACAATAGATGGTGCTGGGGCCATGCACGGTGCACAGTGGATGGTGCTGGGGCCGTGCAGAGCACGTGGTGCTGTGCACAGTGCTGGGGACAACGCACGGTGCACGATGGATGGTGCCGGGGCCACGCACACTGCATAGTGCATGGTGCTGGGGCTGCACGTAGTGCACAATGGACAGGGCTGGGGCCGTGTACGATGGATGGTGCTGGGGCCGTGCACAGTGCACAATAGGTGGTGCTGGGGCCGTGCAGAGTGCATGGTGCCGTGCATGGTGCTGGGGCTGCGCATAGTGCACAATGCACTATGGGGCCACGCTGGGGCCGTGCACAATGGATGGTGCTGGGGCCACGCAGGATACACAGTGCTGTGCATGGTGCCAGGGCCATGCACGGTGCTGGGGACATGCACAGTGCACTATGGATGGTGCCGGGACCATGCACTGTTGCTGGGGACACACATGGTACACGATGGATGGTGCTGGGGCCGTGCAGGAGGGTGCTGGGCCAAACGTGGTGCTGGGGCTGTGCACGGTGCACTATGGATGGTGCTGGGGCCGTGCGTAGTGCACAATAAATGGTGCTGGGGCCGTGCATGGTGCCCAATGGATGGTGCTGGAGCTGTGCAGAGCATGTGGTGCTGTGCACAGTGCTGGGGACACGCATGGTGCACGATGGATGCTGCTGGGGCTGTGCACGGTGCACAATAGATGGTGCTGGGGCCATGCAGAGCGTATGGTGCTGTGCACAGTGCTGGGGACACACACGGTGCACGATGGATGGTGCCGGGGCCACGCACACTGCATAGTGCATGGTGCTGGGGGCACACGTGGCCATAGGGCTGTTGGGCACGGCGCAGGGTGTCGGGGCTGTGCACGGTACCCAGTGCAAGGGCCGTGCCCCGTGCTTGCACACCAGGCTCGTGCCCAGGCTGCAGCAGGCACCGCAGGCCCCCGCTGCCCTGCTCGGGGTGGGGGCACCCCAGGGCTTCCTGGCCTTGGAGCTCCCCACCCCCTGCCAAAACCCCTTTGAGACCTGGGGTGTCCTGGGGTGGGGGGGGGTTCACTCTGCCCCCCAGCGCTGCAGTGGGGTCTGGTGCCCCACTGGGTGTAGAGACACCAATTTGTGTGTGTGTCCCCCTCCCAACCCCCCCATCTCGTTTCCAGGCTCCTGAACAACGAGGGGTCCCTGCTGGCTTACTCAGGCTACGGGGACACGGACGCCAGGGTGACCGCGGCCATCGCCAGCAACATCTGGGTGGCCTACGACAAGAACGGGCACCAGGCCTTCAACGAGGACAACCTCAAGTTCATCCTCATGGACTGCATGGTACGTGGGGCTGGGGGCTGCCCCCTCCCCCTTCCCCCCCCCCTTCATTGGGGACCCAGGGTCCCTGCTGGGGGTCCCTGCCAAGCCGGGGGTGCCACGGGTGCTGTTTCTCCCCGGGCAGGAGGGACGAGTGGCCATCACGAGGGTGGCAAACCTGCTGCTCTGCATGTACGCCAAGGAGACGGTGGGATTTGGGATGCTGAAGGCCAAGGTAATGCTGGGGGGGGACACACGCACCCCAGGGGGTGGGGGAGCACAGGGCAGCGTCCACGCTGTGGGGTGGGAAAGAGCCGTCGAGGAGGACGAGGATGGGAGTGGTGGAGGAAGCTGCAAGCCTGGGCCACCGCTGTCTTCCTCTTGCAGTCCCCTGTGCCAGCCTGGGTGCCACCTTTTTTAAGGCTCTAAAATTAAATATAAATCAAAATAGTCATAGAATCACAGGATGGTTTGGGTGGGAAGGGACCTTAAAGACCATCTCCTTCCACCTCCCACCAGCCCAGGTTGCTCCAAGCCCCCTCCAACCTGCCCTTGAACCCCTCCAGGGATGGGGCAGCCACAGCTTCTCTGGCCAACCTGGGCCAGGCTCTCACCACCCTCACACCAAAGAACTTCTGCCCCACATCTCAGCTCAATCATAGAACCATCCAGGGGGTTGGAAGGACCTTCAAGATCATCTCGTCCAACCATCAACCTAACTCTGACAAAAGAACCATCACTAAACCATGTCCCTCCATCTCCCCTCTTTCAGCTCCAAACCCTTCCCCCTTGTCCCATCGCTCCCCTTCCTCATCCAGAGTCCCCCCCAGCTTTCCTGGAGCCCCTTGAGGGACTGGAAGGGGCTCCAAGGTCTCCCCGGAGCCTTCTCTTCTCCAGGCTGAACCCCCCCAACTCTCTCAGCCCCCCCTCCCAGCAGAGGGGCTCCAGCCCTCCCAGCATCTCCGGGGCCTCCTCTGGCCCCGCTCCAACAGCTCCATGTCCTTGGGATGTTGGTGGCCCCAGAGCTGGAGGCAGCACTGGGGGGGCGGGGGGGTGTCTCCCCAGAGCAGAGCAGAGGGGCAGAATCCCCCCCCTCACCCTTGGGGGTGCAGCCCAGGGGGTGAAGGGCTTGCTGGGATGGCAGTGCATGTTGCCAGCCCATGGCTACCTTGGGGGGGCCACCTCAGAGCCCCCCCAAGTCCTTCTCCTCGGGGCTGCTCCCCATCCCTCCATCCCCACCCTGGGCTGGGACCGGGGGCTGTCCCCCCCCCGCCAGGGGCAGGACCCTGCCCTTGGCCTGGTTGGACCCCATGAGGGTCACACAGTTCCACCTCTCCAGGTCCCTCTGGATGTCACCCCATCCCTCAGGTGTGTCATCACCCCTCTCAGCATGGTGTCGTCACCAAACTCTCCCACCCAAAAGCTTTTCCCACTGGGTGTCATCCCATCTCCTGATCCCCTGGTGGGACCCACATGGGCTTGAAATTAGAGCAGGGCCTCCATCCTCCTGGAGATGGGGTTTCTCTTGGGCTTCCAGCCAGGACACCAGGTAAGTGTGACCACCCCAGGGTTTGGGGTCCCATGGCGCACCCCGCCTGGCTGCTGGGGGCA